AGGCAACATGATTTAATACAGAAGGCCCACGGCCAGGAATTGGGAAATCTGGGTTTTATTCCTGGCTTCATCACTAGGCCATGTATACACAAGTGTAGTATTTTGTAATTACACTGTCTTTCTTGACCCCAAACTGTTTCCTGCTCTGCCACCAAAAGTGTTTTACAAAGTTTAGTTTTGATATTGATGTCTTGCTTCTTTTTCTTTCTACTCCTTTTCTCTTTCTTCACCTTCTCTATGTCTTATTAAATTGCATTAAATCTGAATTATATTAGCAATACATAAATATACTTAACTTTTCTTTAAAGCTATAGAGAATATTGATTCCCTTTTAATCTTCATGTTTCTGTTTCCAGGTTCCTGCCCTTCTCTTATCCTTCACCCTTAATCTTGTTTCTTTCCCCCATTTCCTTCTGTTTCATTCATTTACTCATACCCGTTTTCTTCCTATCCTCTTTTTTACACCTATACCAACTTCAGTTCCACATAAAAAAATTCCCATCATAAAATAGTCCTCTAAGATACCTTTTGGCAAGTGAAGAACTATGTAAACATGCTACAGAACACAAAAAAACACAGAGGAACAGAGCAAAAGACTGTAGGATTTCTTGGTATCTGCAGGGTTGGATTCCAGGTAAACTGAAAATTGGTTTCAATGAATCTAACACTAAATACAAAGTGGTCAGACAGCAGAATTCTCCCAAGCCATGAGTTTCTTGAAAATGAAAGATCCCTGCTTATCTGAGTTGTCATTGTAACAGTCAACAAAGAGGCACCTAGCTGATTTCAGTTCTACTGGGAAATACTTCTGCCTCATCTGAACTCCCAGCATCAACAGGGCCGTAGGGAATGGAGAAAGTAAATCCACAATTAGAACTGCCAGAAGCCTAGGGATATGCATTCACCTTCCACAGCATTCTTTGTTCCTCATACCAGCCAGACACTGAAGAGATCCAGCACTGGGCTGCAAAGGGACTAAGAACAGTCACATTGCTTGGATAAACCTTGATGCTTTCCTAGGTCATATTGGGACGAAGCAGTGAAGAGAGGATTGGAGACCAGTTCTGTTGGCCACAATGTACTATTTGGGTTTGTGTTTTTTTGTTCCTTTTGCTTTCCAGTAGTTTTATGCAGAGTGATTCAGGGTAGAGTTAGCACTCAGTAATATTTGCAGCAATAAAATATTGGCAAAAATAAAATATCCATTTTTTTAACCTGGATACTGCTACAAAATGCAATAACCTTTTGACAATAAATGCAGGATCCAACTATTTTTTATTTTTTGAAAATCAGGCAGTTTAATAATTCTCAACTATGTGAGAATGTATACTACCCACACACATGAGGATATATGTAATCTCCACCATTAAAAGAGGAGCAGACAGACTGAAAACTTAAAATTATAGACTGCCTTGCTTTGTACCAAGTAGTTTGATAAGTTAACCTGCTTCCAGTGATTCATACGTTCAGGGGCTATCTCTTTCCTTGTTTTTTTCCTTCAGTTTTTTTTTAAAGAAAGCATCACAGGTATAGTTGGAATCCTATTGACACCACCCCCTGACCCTCTTTTCTAAGTTCTAGATTCAGTTACTAATTTGTAGGAAGTACGGTCAAAAGAAAAACATCAAAAGAAATATATTAAGCTACACCATGGAAATGCAACCAGCCATAATCCCAACTCAACGAAGCTCTACAAGACAAACGACGTTGGGTCTTCAATAAATAAATTACAAGAATAAAGAAAGGGAAAGAAGATTTCCCTTGACTTGAGAGACATACCAACTAATGATTATAGAGAAACCTTTTTTTCATTCCAATAGAAACAAACAAACTTTAAAACTTTCATTGCCAAATCCTTTGGAGATTATTGCACTTACATAGGATTAAAAACCAAATATCATGAAAGTTTCTTGATTAAACCAGACCTGTTCCCTTTGTGTCATTCTTTATCTTTTCTATAGCATGAGTTTTAGAAAGGCTGTATCTTCAATACCCTGTGTGTATTATACTGTATTTATTTCACCTTTCCACCCTTAATTCAGGTATGTTAAAATAAATGTAACATTTTAACTTACAAAAACAACACTTTCATGACATTTAGGAGATATGAATACTGACAGTATTTTTACATTTAATAATGGTATTATAGCACTTTTTTTACCAGTTTATTGTCATGTGCTTTTCCTATCATGCAAATAAGATTAAAATATTTCCAAATGAACTAATACATTACATAGGCTTTGATTAAAGAATATAGAAAAATCTATGTCATGCTTCAATGAGTTGGCTAATGATATGAAGAGAGAAGCAAGCTCAGGAGTAAATGAAACAAGACTGACCATGAGCTGCTAATGGTTGAGTCAATTTAAGAAAATGTGAGGATTTGTTATATTATTCTGTCTACTTTTATATATATTTGAAATATCCCATAATAAAAAGTTTCTTTAAATTTAATTGGAATTTTTTTAAAGGGAAAAGGAATTTAAACAGCAAACCTTGTTCAAGGGGCTTTGCTTGTGATTTTTAAAGATGAGATTTGCAGATTCTATAAGAAAAGGAGTTTAGGAAAGCATGTGATTTGAAAAACATTAAAATTCAGGAACTATACATTTCACAACAGTAAATTTGTAATATTTGGAGACTAGGGCTACTGACATGGACCTCAGGAAGTCCTCACATTCCATAAAGTTGCACTCAAAATCATCTCTGCATGTGCATATTTCTGGAAGTGCATAGCTTTATGAGATGCATAAAGGAATCCTTTTCCACAAAAGCTTTTAAAATTATTATCATAATGGGAAAATGAAGGAAATCAAAAGCATATACCAGTGGGTTCCACATCAAACTCAACTGGGAGTAAGCAGTTGTGGGCACTGCAGGATCACTGTGAATCAGCCACTTGGTCAGTACCCCCAGTATCTGGGATGTACTGTGGTCAATCTCTTTCTCTTTTACTCTTCTTGCTGAAGAAAAGGCCAAAATGAACGCTGGACCTATGCACCTTACAGACCACAGTTGTCAGAGTTCATGTGGCTGTGATGTAAGCAATCCTTAGGAGAATTCTAAGGTAAGCACTTTCACTTGAACATCGATTGGCCTTGAAATTTTCTAATGCATCTCAAAGGACCTGTTCATTAAGGTTTCTTCCAATGCTAAAAAAAAAAATGCTGCTAAGAGCTTAGGAAGCTCTGTGTTACTTCAGCACACCAGACATTTAAGAGAAGGTGAAATAGA